AGAGATCCGCCTGGCTCTGCCTCCCGAGTGCTGGGATTAAAGGCGTGCGCCACCACCGCCCGGCATCCCCCAAGTTTGTATCCATGATTGGCTGAATTGATGGATGCAGAATCCTTCTACGGAAGGTTGACTGTACTGAAAAGCCACAAACAGGAAATGATAATCAGGCTTGCCTTTCCTTATAGTGGTGTTTCTTTTCTTTTTCTTTCTTTCTTTCTTTTTTTTTCCGGAGCTGAGGACCAAACCCAGGGCCTTGTACTTGCTATGCAAGCGCTCTACCATTGAGCTAAATCCCCAACCCCATGGTGTTTCTTTTCTATAAAGTAGGAATTGCTTCTGCACATTTATTGTTCCTGAGATTGAAACTCAATGAATATTAATGTTACAGAGGAGACTGTGAACGATTCATCAGTCTGGGTTAAATTATAGACAAAATAAGGAGGGTTTATTTTCTAGGAGGTCCCTGGGATATTTTTACCATGGTTATTTTAATCCACTCCTTTTCTATCATCCACCCTTTGTGGCCGGCAGAACAAGAACCAGCCAAACAGTGACAGCGTGACCTGTGCCCCAGATAAACATGGCTGTTGACTTTCAACTAGTCCAAGTGTTGTGGAGGGCTATCGGCTTTCTGATCTTTGGTACACGTAGGCAGGCTCATTGTGCCTGATTCATTTGAGGCTATTATGTTTTTGTGTTGCTCTAGGGATCATATTGTTAAAAACATTTCTATTTTTATTTGTCGTCACATTCAGTGTACCTTAATAATGGCAAACAGATAATTGAAAAATGCCACCGATGTTAGTTATAAACACAATTTCCTTACCATTTAATTAAGAAAGACAACAAGAAAGCCACGTTATTATTCCAGTTTTTTGGGGTTTTTTTTGGTTTTTCGAGACAGGGTTTCTCTGTGTAGCTTTGCGCCTTTCCTGGAACTCACTTGGTAGTCCAGGCTGGCTTTGAACTCAGAGATCCGCCTGCCTCTGCCTCCCGAGTGCCGGGATTAAAGGCGTGCACCACCACTGCCCGGCTTTATTCCGGTTTTAATGCTACCAAATCCTCTTTTACTCACAGGGACCATTGAAAAACTTGTAGCAATGTTATATATATAACTTTTTCTTTTCTTTTTTCTCTCTTTCTTTTTTTCTTTTTTCTTTTTTTTTCAACACAGGGTCTCTCTGTGGTTTTGGTGCCTGTCCTGGATCTCGCTCTGTAGACCAGACTGGCCTCGAACTCACAGAGATCTGCTTGGCTCTGCCTCCGAGTGCTGGGATTAAAGGCGTGTGCCACCACCACCCGGCTTTTTTGCTTTTTTTGAGACAAGTTCTCACCTTGTAGCATTGGCTGGCCTGGAACTTACTGTGTAGACCAGGCTGGCCTTGAACGCATAGATAACCACCTATCTTTGCCACCTCAATGCTGGGATTAAATACGTGTGCCACCACAGTCAAGCGTATATAAAAATGTTTTATAAGTACTGGGTATGTTGATTTAAACCAATCCCAGATTTTTTTTTTTTTTTGTCTTTGTTTTGGTTTTTTGAGACAGGGTTTCTCTGTGTTGCTTTGGTACCTGTCCTGGCGCCTGCTCTCTAGACCAGGCTGGTCTCGAACTCACAGAGATCTGCCTGCCTCTGCCCGTTCGACACCGCTGCCAGGCTTAAGCCAATCCCGGTTTTAAGAATGTGTGTTAGGGCGGCTCAAGTGTTATTCACTTCCAGTCGCTGTAGCAGTCACTTAGGTATAGAAATTTGGGGGCCAAATGCCCTCTGAAGACCACTTCCTCCCAGCTCTGAAGCTTGGGGTAGAAGAGAGCACACAGCGGCATGGAGACCCTTTGTCTCCTCTGTGTTTCCACTTCCACTGTCCTGACGTCAGCTCTGAAGTGCGGCGTTTTAGCAGAATTGCTTTGCTGACTGACCGGCATTCAGTTCATCCTGGACGGTGATGTCTTCATTTAAAAATGTTTGCTCACCCGGATGGTGGTGGCCCACGCCTTTAATCCCAGCACTCAGGAGACAGAGGCAGGCAGATCTCTGTGAGTTCAAGGCCAGCCTGGTCTACAGAGAAAGTTCCAGAAGAGCCAAGGCTACACAGAGAAACCCTGTCTCAAAAACAAAACAAAACAAAAACACTGAATTGTGATCCCCACACGTTTCTCAACACAGGTGCTCGTCAGTGTATTTAGGACAGGTTTTCCAGCTGCACAAGGTCATTTAAAATTCGAGTCCAGTTCCAGAACGTAAGACTCAGTGATTCTATCATGCTATTCTCCGTGAACCACACACTCCAGTCCATCAACCACACACAGATGAAAATGCTAAATAGCCTCAACTCAGCTCTAAGAAGAAACACACAAATTCCGTAGTTTTGTAAGTACAATTCCTTGAAAACCCTCAGTATGAGATTAAGACGCTATCCATGCCAAGACATATATTTTCCCGTCTTCTTTTTGATCTATTAAGTCCTTTAAAGCAGAAAATAAGGACAATTATTTTGATGCCTCTGTCTTTTTCGTTCGTGTCTCTCTTCCTTCTCCCCCTCCCCCCTTCCATTTCCTTTCTCCTTCCCTTTCAGGGTCTCACACTGATCCTGTTCCTTCCAGTGCTACACACAGCCCTGAGCCACTGTGTCTGTCCCTCTAGGTCAGTAGTTCCAGGATGGCAGCATTGGTGGTATCTTTCAGTTAACGCTTTGACACTCTCTGGTTCCACAGAGTCTAGGAGGCACAAATCAGGCATGCAATGTACTAATTATCACTTCATAACCAAGTATAACTTCATCATTAACAGAAAAAAATCTATTTTACATTTTTTCCCCTCAGTGAATTTGCTTTGGAGGCAGAGTCTTACTACGTAGCAAAAGCTGGCCTTGAATTGGAGATGTTCCTGTGTCCGCTCCATGAGTGCTAGGATTCCATGTCTATGCCACCAAGCCTGGTTCCAGTTTCACTCAGGGATTTTTAAAAAACATATTCACAAATTTCAGGAATTCAGATGTAGATATCTTTAATTAATTAATTAATTGTGTGTATGTGTGTGTCTGTGCACCGTCATGTCCTCGTCCAGTCCCCCCCCAACACACACTCATGCATGTGTGCCTCATGGGCATATGAAGTCGAAGGACCATTTGTGGGAGTCAGTTATCTACTTCCACAATGTGAGTCCTGGTGATCAAATTCAAGTCAAAGCTTGGCAGCTGCTGTGTGGTTCAGCAAGGGGCCATTTGTGTCCAGGTGCCGGACGGAGGCTTCCAGGTTACCTGGAGCATCTTGGACCATCCAGTTAAACTGTAGCCTTGGAAATGGAAAGCAGGCACACCTTTTCTGGATGCCTTCCAGTATCGCCCTATGAGTTCAATACTGAGCTTCTGGGCCCTTTTTCTCAGGCTGGCTTTGTCTGCAGCTCTGTCCCACGGCTCTCCTCTGACACGGCTCTGCTACCTCTGCTTCACCCTGGCAGAAATGTGCTGACTCCCGTAGATGAAAAAGAGTGTTAAGTAATTAACCTCGTGGCTGTTTTAATGATTGTGTTTCATTATTACATCATTTTGCAGGGCTCCAGGTTGACTTCTCTCTGCCGTCTGTTTGGATTGATTTGCTCATTTTTAGGACTCCATACCGTTGTTATCTTTGTGATATCTCAGGCAACATTTAATCTTCATGATGCTAATTTTCTTTTTGTCACAAAAAATGAAACATTGTTCATAGTCCAATAAAGGTACCAAAATAATGATGAACTGCCAGGTTACATAATAATTTATAATAACGAAACATCCTATTTCTCTTATAGTGAAATACTGACTTACTGGTCACGGCTGACTTTTTTTTTTTTTGGTCCCACAATGTAGGCTTTATATTTAAAAATCAATTAATTTTTAGACCTTTGACAGTTCCTGCAAACTCCTAATAAGTACATGTTTTTCTGACATAGGACGTGGGTGGCTGAGACGTTTCTCAGAAAAACTGAACCTAATACTCTGCTGTTATCATGACCTTAGGAAGCAACAACATGGGTAACTCAGCCTTGGTTCATTAAACATCTCATTTTCTGATTTTTATTTTATGCCAACAGGGTAGGCTGTTCAAATTAAGTTTAAGAATAGATGTAACAGACAAATGAGCTCATTAAATGGCTAGAATGCTTCTCCACAAAGGGAAAGAGGGGAGGAGAATTAGAGGAGAGAGAGGTAGAAAGGGAAGCTCAGGCTGTCAACAAAAAGGTGGAAGAGAGTCGAAAGAGGCCTCAGTGGAGAAGACACGGCCAATCTGGTCAAAACTTCTGCTTAAACGTTTGTCCAATGGTATTAACTTAACTGATGAAGGAAGTTCTAGACCTTCGTTCTAATCCAATATTTGTCTTGTAAGTAGATATTTTTATATATCATATGCTATGAAGAGACAAGTGAGATACTATTCTTTACAGCCTGGGAAATTCAAACTAGGGCCTCACAAATGCTAGGCAAGTCTCCCTCACCTAAACAAGTCTCCGGCCTTCTTTTATTTTGAATTTTGAGACAGGGTTTCACTAAATTGCCCCAGTTGCCCTTGAACTTGAAATCCTTCTGCCTCAACTTTCTTAGCTGAGATTACAAACCTGTAAACCACCAGGGCTGGCTTAATACTCTATTTTAAACTCTAGAAAGACTCGGTATCTGTCTGAAGTATATGAATGCTCTGTAAAGTTGTTGTATTTTTTTGTGATAAGTCAACCTATAGTCTAGCTATACATCCTCTGTAGGGCGAGCGTGCCAGTAAAGCGACCGGAGTGCTTTTAGGGTGGGAAGAAGGGAAAGGAGGGAGCCCCACCTACCTCTCACTGGCTGGCCTTCCTCCTCTGGTAGCCATGCTCCTGGCTGGGAAGGAGGGTGGGGAGAGATGCTGCAGGAGCCACAGCACAGCAAACAGCCTCGAGTGCAGTTGTTTCCCTTTCTGCCCCTGAGATCCTTTTCTAAATCCAGCAGACATCTGACTCCCGGTGTGATCATTACACTCCTGGTCAGAGCTGCAGCACACGAGCTGGCTGGCGCTGCTGCTGGGAACTGTGACTCACTCCTTCAGGTTCTCCCTGGTGCGGAAGGAGTCTCCGAAGGGGAAAAAGAGCAGTCTGTCAGGTGAGCTCATCACTGTCAGCATCACCAGCTTCCTGAGAGACCAGGCAGTGTAAGGGAAAAGAGCACCTGTCAGACTCCTGGAAAAATCACTGTCTCATGTGACCATGAGAAGGTTAGTAAAGCTCTGAGAGCCTCGGTTTTCTCAGTGAAAGGTAAAAAAATCAATCCCGAAGTAGCACTAAAACGGGTATGCCTAATGTATGGGCAATATTATGCAGTGGTTGGTTTGAAAATTAAACATCCCCAAAAGCCTCATGAGTTAAAGGCTGTGTCCCCCAACTGGTAGCACTCTAAAACTACTTATTTACTTCGACAGGGTCTTCACCTGTTTCTGCCTTCTGAGTGCTGGGATCAAAGCAGTACTCCACCATGCCTGGTGTCTGGCAGTAGTCTTTGGGGGTTGTGGAAACTTTAGGAGGTGGGGTTTTGTTGGAGGGAGTAAATTACTGGAGGCATGCCTCGGAAGGCTGACTCTTGCCTGCTCCCTTGTCTCTGGTTCCTGTCTGCATGAGATGAGACGTTGCTCACGCCCCACCACGGTCTTCTGCCCAAGTGTGTAGAGCCAAGGATCTGAACCAAAGCACCAGAAACCTCAAGCTAAAGCAATTCCTCTCTGAGATGTTTGTGCTGCTCATCCTGTCTGTTGTACATTCTGCATGTGCAGATCAAGACAAAGAGAAAAATTATGACACTGTATACATCATATAAGGCATTTAGATGTTTATAGTCTCTATACTTGAGGAAATACTGGACATGACTACAATATATCAGAAAAAGAAGGAATGACTGGTGAACTAGATGACTATTCACTAGACCATTTATTCACTTTTAAAAGTTTGTAGTTACTTCACTGCAAGTTGAAGTTCCTAGGATATATAAGACACATTGTCCTCAAAGAATTTGTTACTTAGAAGGAAGGATTGCACATAAACAAGGTTGGATGTAAAACACACACAGAGAAGAAATGCCATGGCCATTCAGAACAGACTGATCCTAGAGGAGGGCTTACTAGAAAGAAGGCAAGGCAAGCCAGTTTCAACATGTGTTGAGTCCTCATTATGAGACATCTCCAGAGATTTGCATGTTCAACAAGGACCTGCAGACAGAAGAGGCTGAGTCAAAGCACAGAGGCAGGAATCTGTAGATAAGGTGGGGGTAGAAACAAGGATCAAATAAGTGGAAGCCACATCCTAACAAAGATGGAAGTCATTTTTTAAGAAGTGCCCAAGTGTGACATCATGGGTATTCTCATACATAAAGCTAAAGCTTATTTTTTTTTCTCTTGCAGATAATTGATGCAATACATCCAATGGAAATCTTTAAGTTGATTAAAATTCTTCTGAGAATTTTTTTCCCCATTTGAAGATTCATGCATGGATCTTTTCTGTAGAATGAGATTAGTCTTTTTATCTAAAGAAGACCACAGAATCCTTCATTTTCTTTGTTTTTCTTTTACTCCTTCATCTTTCATCTTCAAAAATAAAATTTAACTTTGTAACAAGCTTATTTGGAACTGGAAGCTTTTAGAAAAAATGTTAATGTAATAAAATACAGTGACTGATGTTACTCTGTCAGACTGATTTACTGGTACCAAAGGAGGAATTTCAACAGCTGATAACTGAGGGAGACCATGGGGGAAATGTATCCCTAATCCTCTAAGTCACTAGCACTCAAACATGTCAGTTTCTGTCAGATGTGTTTGTGTGTGTCTCTCACATTCATGACCTCAACAGAGGATTTACTTGGAGCTATTTAAACATCAGAGAACTGAAAGGGCACCGGGAGCACTCACATTGCAAGAGGTATGGAAGGAAACGGAGCCCACACAGAATGAGGGGAGAGAGCGTGTGGACCTAGAAGTTCAAAAAGAGGAGGGGTCTATCTGTGCATCAGGAGGGCAAGGCACTGAGGAGAGGCAGCTGCCTGGAAGAGCTGCTTCCTCAGAAGGGCAGAGCCCTGTGGAGCTGGAATCCAGACTTGGATGATGCGGCTGTTCTGAGAACCATCATGCTGGCTGGCAGAGACAGGAGGAGATGGCAGCCAGGACTAACTGCTGGTGGAAACAACCGGAATTTGGGGAGTGGAGAGGTGACATCTGGGTGACACTTCCTGGGACAGTAGGCGCATCAGAGGGGAATTAGCCTGTTCTGTCTCTCTCCTGTTGCCTTCCGGTCTCTCACTAGTGTCCCCAGCCGACAGAAACTAGCCAAGGTCCTTATGGCAATGGCAGTGTGGCTGCAGATCTCGCCTCAGTATCTCCAGGCCCAGGATAGAGGGGTGGATAGAGCCTGAAAGTGTAACTAGCCAGCACCACATGTATACAATTCACCAGACTTACCTACCACGCAGTTTCAGACCCGAGTTTGAAGGTCTCTTTTAGAGGCTTTCGAGTAGGCCCAGAAACCTTCACTTTTGAAAATAGCATCAAATTGTTGTATCCAGAGTCCCCCAAAGACCACCAAGAGACCTAATCCGATGCAAAAGCACAGAGTCTTTGTATTGTTACAAGTTAACTCTGGACTCTCCGTCTGCCTGATGCAGCAGCAGAGCAGAAGAGACCCTGAGCAGCAATGGGGCAGGGTTTTTAAAGCAAGGGGGGCTTGGGGTCTACAGACTACATAGGAACAGACTCAGGATTGGTTTATGTGAATGGCAATCATGTTAGTAACTTTTAACTGGCTAGGGTTAGTTGGGGGTTACAGTTATCCATTTTGGGGCAGGCCTGGACAAGTCCCAGGCTTTGTCCTTGAGCTGCCATGGAGGCTGGCTGGCTTAGCACGTACTGACTGTGGGGGCTGACTCAGTGGCCCAGGCTTTGTCCTTGAGCAGCCATGGAGGCTGGCTGGCCTAGTACATACTGATTGTGAAGGCTGACTCAGTGGCCCAGGCTCTGTCCTTGACTTACACATGTAACTCTAAGTTGGTGAGAGGTCCCAGACAGTAAACAATTGGCTGAACCTTGAACAGTCAGAGTACGTGCAGAAAGGGAGCTACTGCAAGGACTATGTCTTTTGTTCACGGCTCTCCCAGAGACTGCTTGCTCAAGTCTCAGGAAACTGAAATGGAGGCCTGATCTCTGAGAGAAGACTGAGCAGCCTGTTATGGCATCTGCTCGGTCCTTTCAAAATAATCTGATGGTGTCTTCAAACACTCTTTCAGAAATGCTGGTTCTCTCTATCTCTGTCTTTCTGTCTCTCTTTGTGTGCGCATGTGCACGCAAGCATACATATATGTGTGTGTGTGTGTGTGTGTGTGTGTGTGTGTGTGTGTGCTGGCACCTGTGAACATGGAGGCCCAGTGCCTGGGAACATGGAGGCCGGAAGTTGACACTGGGTATCTCCCTCAATTTCTCTCCATTTTCTGAGGTTTGAGGGCAAGTTCTCTCCCTGAAGCCAAGGCCCACAGATTTACCCAGTTTTTCTAGCCACCTTGCCCGGTGGACCCGACTTACCCTCCTGTAGGCAGACTACTATGTGTGCTTGACTTTTATATGGGGGCCGAGTCTCTGAACCGGGTGTTTTCATCTCATTTGCCTGGTAAGCCTTTATCCCCTGAGCTGTCTTCCTAGTACTGATGTCTTTCAGCTGAGTCCCCGAATCAAGTTACAACAAGAGTTTAGGAAGAACCCAACACTAGCTCAAACAGCCCCAAGACAATTCACTTTAAAAATTTCCATTAAGACATGCTTAAAATGTGAACTCCAACACTCAGGAAGCAGAGGCAGGAAGGTTGTCACAGATTTGAGGGCAGCCTGATCTACATAGTCAGTTCCAGGACAGCCAGGGCTACATATCAAGACTGCTAAAAGTACACAACTTAAAAAATGTCCCCACAGCAGCTTCAAAACACTTGAACATTTTGACCCTCTTAATATCCAATATCTGTCACTTTCCCATTCATATACACTTACTAGAGTGATTTAGTACTAGGAAAAGTATTTAGCTTTCACAAGAACTTGTATGCTTTCCTTTATCAGTGCAAAATAAAAGAATACATTGATTTCTATTTGTTTTGGCTGCTGGGTAGATTAGAATTATTTAGTGTAATCCCAGCCAAGCCTTCCCTTTTAACCATCCTTTTTATATTTTTCAATTGATGACATAAATACATACATACATATATTAAATTAATGATATCATAGTTTTCAAAGTATTTTTGGATATAGTACATTAAAGCTTATCACTAATTAACTCAAGTTATCGAGAAGGCCAAAGCTGCTGTTCTGTAGGGGAGGCATGGGAAGTCTCCCTTCTTGCCTATGAACTATTCTTTGAAAGACTGCACATCACTAATATGCCCCCAGGCTTCTGCATATTCATAATGCACATGGAAAGTCCATTTGAAACTTTCTATCTTAAAGAAATCCTCTATTTAATTTGATTCATTCTCCCTCTCTCTGTATATGTGCGTGGGTGCACACACGTCATGCTGTGCATGCAGAGGTCAGAGGACAAACTTTAGAGTTAATCCTGGGTCCTGGGAGTTGAACAGAGGTTGCCAGGCTTTGTGGCAAGTGCCCTTGCTCACTGAGCTATCTCATTGGCCTTACAAAATCCTTTTATGTATCTACATTATTTCTGCCGCTTTTTAAAAAAAAATTTATGTATTTATTTATTATGTATACAGTGTTCTGGCTGCATGTATACCTGCAGGCCAGAAGAGGGCATCAGATCTCATTACAGATGGTTGTGAGGCACCACGTGGTTGCTGGGAATTGAACTCAGGACCTCTGGAAGAACAGGCAGTGCTCTAAACCTCTGAGCCATCTCTCCAGCCCTATTTCTGCCACTTTAAAAATCATGTCTTGGACACTTGGGATTCATGGCAAGATATATTTTTTTTCTGAGAGTGAGTGATCACAGAAAATTTCTGGCACAGACCGATCTAAATAAATATGCTGTCTTTGTCTTGTTTTAAGTAGGCTTATGGTAGAGACATTCAATTGTTTTTTTTATCTTAGTGGAATTTAATTTATAAGCACATATTGTGTACAATACTCAAGAATGCACTTAAACATTGAAAAAAAAAAAAAACACCCAGGACGCTTGCTTTATAACTGTTTTCTGATGATCTTTACAAGTGGTTCTCCTTCACGAGGAAGTTCATTTAATTACTTCTGCATCTAAGCTGTCTCCCTCGGTGACTGCAGTGGGCCCACTGAGGAGCAGGACCTGCCGCTAAGCAGACAGTACTATGGTTTGCCAATAGAAAAACCAACAGGAAATACACAAGGCAATACAGGCTGTGTGCTTTTTTTTGGTTTTTCGAGACAGGGTTTCTCTGTGTAGCTTGGCGCCTATCCTGGAACTCACTCTGTAGACCAGGCTGGCCTCGAACTCACAAAGATCCCCCTGCCTCTGCCTCCCAAGTGCTGGGATTAAAGGCGTGCGCCGCCGCCGCCGCCGCCGCCGCCGCCGCCGCCGCCGCCGCCGCCACCACCACCACCACCACCACCCGGTGATGTGTGCTTTTAATTGATGCAAATACTGTAACTTGGGGGCAATATGCATCTCCCAGAGTCTTTTTTTTTTTTTTTTTACCTCAAACAGAAAGTGCTTCCTACTTCCTCCTCATTCTGCTTCTCTCCATCTGCCATGGAAACAGTCTTGGTGAGTGTGGTTGTTGGTCTTACCTACCGATTAGATTGCGAGGAACCCAGAGGATTAGGAAAGCACACAAATTCCTTTTTTTGAATAAAACTACCTTTTCCCCCTAATTAACTCACAAATAAAAAACATCACACCACTATTTAAGGAAACCACTCTAACACTGCCCAGCCCCAATTCTATGCAGTTAGAATGGCCGTCCTGGCCCAGTGGAGGTTCACTTAGGGTTTCACACCTGCACTAGCAATGACATTAAAGAAAAACGATTTTTAAAATTATGTGTGTGTTCATGTATATGTGTGTCTGTGCATGTGTGAGTGAAGGTACTGAAAGGGTACTGAATTCCCTGGAGCTGGAGCTCCAGGTGACTGTAAATTAGCCAGTGTGGGTGCTGGGAACCGAACTCTGGTCCCCTGCAAGAGAGCAGTGTGTGCTTTTAACTGTTGAACAATCTATCCATGTCTTCAATTGCGTTTTTTTTCGTTTATCCATCATGATAAAGAAAAAGCTCTGAGAAAGTTAAAACTAGAAGAAAAGCATTAGTTTTAGGTTTATATTCTTTTTTCATGACTCACATCTCTATTTGCCCACCTCTGGCCCCGCTCCTTACCTAATTGTGGTGGGCTGAATGTAATTGGCCCCCATAATCTCATAGGGAATGGCACTATTAGGAGGTGTGGCTTTGTTGGAGTGGGTGTGGCCTTCTTGGAGGATGTGTGTCACTGTGGGAGTGGGCTTTGAGGTTTCCTATGCTCAGGATACTGCCCAGTCAACTTCCTGTTGCTTGCAACATGTAGGACTACTCCAGTACCACGTCTACCTGCACGCCACCATGCTCCCTCCTCATCATGATAATGGACTAAACTCTGAAACTGTAAGTGAGCCACCCAATTGAATGTTTCCTTTATAAGAGTTGCCATGATCCTGGTGTCTTTTGACAGAAATAGAAATCCTAACTAA